ACCTGTTCCTGAATGCTTACAAGGGGCCTCCAAGGTCAAAGATAAAATACCTGTTCCTGAATGCTTACAAGGGGCCTCCAACAGATAAAATAACCTGTTCCTGAATGCTTACAAGGGGCCTCCAACAGATAAAATAACCTGTTCCTGAATGCTTACAAGGGGCCTCCAACAGATAAAATAACCTGTTCCTGAATGCTTACAAGGGGCCTCCAACAGATAAAATAACCTGTTCCTGAATGCTTCACAAGGGCCTCCACAGATAAACTACCTTTCCTGAATGCTTACAAGGGCCCCAACAGATAAAATAACCTGTTCCTGAATGCTTACAAGGGCCTCCAACAGTTAAAAACCTGTTCTGATGCTACAAGGGGCCTCCAACAGATAAAATGAACTGTTCTGAATGCTTACAAGGGCCTCCAACAGATAATAACCTGTTCCTGAATGTTACAAGGGCCTCCAACAGATAAAATAACCTGTCCTGAATCTTACAGGGCACTCAACAGATAATAACTGTTTCCTGATGCTTACAAGGGGCAAAGCCCAACAGATAAAAATACCTGTTCCTGAATGCTTACAAGGGGCCTCCACGATAAAATAACTGTTCGCGAATGCTTACAAGGGGCCTCCAACAGATAAAATACCTGTTCCTGAAGTTACAAGGGGCCTCCAACATAAAATAACTGTTCTGAATGCTTACAGGGGCCTCCAACAGATAAAATAACTGTTCCTGATGCTTACAAGGGGCCTCACAACAGAAAAACCTGTTCCTGAATGCTTACAAGGGCTCCAACAGATAAAATAACCTGTTCCTGACAGCTTACAAGGGGCCCCAACAAAAAAAACCTGTCTGAACTTAGCTTACAAGGGGCCTCCAACAGATAAAATACCTGTTCTGAATGCTTACAAGGGCTCCAACAGATAAATACCCGTTCTGAATGCTTACAAGGGCCTCCAACAATAAAATAATGTTCCTGAATGCTTACAAGGGGCCTCCAAGATAAAATAACCTTTCCTGATGCTTACAAGGGGCTCCACAGATAATAACCGTTCCTGATGTTACAAGGGGCTCAACAGAAAAAAACCTGTCCTGAATGCTTACAAGGGCCTCCAACAGATTAAATAACCTGTTCCCGAATGCTACAAGGGCCTCAACAGATAAAATACCTGTTCCTGAATGCTTACAAGGGGCCTCCAACAGATAAAATAACCTGTTCCTGAATGCTTACAAGGGGCCTCCAACAGATAAAATAACCTGTTCCTGAATGCTTACAAGGGGCCTCCAACAGATAAAATAACCTGTTCCTGAATGCTTACAAGGGGCCTCCAACAGATAAAATAACCTGTTCCTGAATGCTTACAAGGGGCCTCCAACAGATAAATAACCTGTTCCTGAATGCTTACAAGGGGCCCAAATAAAACCGTTCGATGCTTAAGGCCCACAGATAAAATAACCTGTTCCTGAATGCTTACAAGGGGCCTTCCAGCTCATCCCCACACCCGGTCTCCCTCAACCTCCTTTCTGCCAATTCAGCCACAGAGAAACTAGGTTCTGCAAACAAGTCTCAAGATCAGTTCAGCAGACCCACGCCAGTTTGCTCGACAAACTTTCCTTCATTTGATGGATGTGTATTATTGTAGAGCCTGTAATCACACTTTTCCTCTCGCTCTCTCTGACTGCGTTTTTCCACTAATTGGTCTTTTGACCAATCACATAAAGATCTTTTCACATCAGATCTTTTTCAGAGCTGATCTGATTGGTCAAAAGACCCAATTAGTGTGTAAAACGCAGGCCTCATCTCTTTCTGCAGTCTTTTCTGAGGCAGTGCTGTGCTGCCAAGGCACTTGGGGAAATTGAATGGCGGCCCATCAATCTATCAGGAGCGTTATGGGTAGAGTGGCAGAGAGGGGAGGCCAGGCTTTTCTGAAATGCACTTATCAGTGCTGGTCGTAAT